AGCTGAAGCAGCGGCTGCTTGCTTGCTGTGCTGCACTTTAACAAAATGTGCCACCAGGGAGGACTGAAGATAAATTCTTAACACTAAAGAATATTGGGGTAAGGGAACTATCCATCTTAAAGTCTTACCCTTACTATGAAATTTTCCTTCAGAAATGTACTCACTCTGTGAGTGGGAATTCCTACCTGATTGTTTCAACCACATTGATAGGCAGATACCATGTTTTGATTATTAAATTAGAACATTTCTATAAATTAAAAGGCTATTTGTAGCTCATTTTTAAAAAAAATGCCTTTTTTAATTCTGATCATTTTTCTTCCACCAGTTTGATCTTTTAATTTAAATTTTCTTACTTATTATGGTTATTAACACTTAGAGTGCTGTGGATTTTTATTTTTGCCAATATAGTTTGCTTTCTGTTCTGATTTTTTTTCTTAAACAATGCTATTATATATTTTTAAAAGAATAAAGTTAATATTTTTTGTTTATTATTTCTGTCTTTAGTGCTTGGAGAGCCAACTCCAAGTTTATATAATTATTTGCTTATGTTTTCTACTTGTTCTTTTATAGTTTTGTCTTTTTACTTTTAATGCTTTAATCCTTCTGGAATTTATTTTGGTGTATGAAAAAAGGCTCTAACCTTTTCCCCAAATAGTTAAGCAGTTATCTGAACACAATCTATTGAGTCCTCATCCTTTCCCCATTGATTTGACACACACAATTCATGTGTCCTTTCTGTCTGTTGGTTTGTTTTCTGCTTGGCTGATCTAACCTTCACAATTGTTCTTCAACTGTTAACTATGTGGCTTTATGAAATATTCTATTCTTGCAGTTCTCTGTTCTTAATGCTTCTGTTTTTGTATATATTCATATAAATTAAAGAATTATTATTTTCATTTTTTAAAAAGATTTTATTTATTTGTGCATACAGAACTGGGGTACAGGCCAGAGGTGAAGGGGCAGTGAAAGGCTTCACCAGAGACAGAGCGGGGAGCAGAACAGGCAGATTGACGAAGTACACTGCTGAGGGGAGCAGCGGGTGGGTCAGAAGAGATCTGCCACACCATGTGGTCACCTCCAGGGCAGGCGGGGATTGAACTCATGAGGAAGTGGCTTTAGCTTAGTGCTGTGCTTCAACCCGCTGTGCCAGGGAGGGCCCTATTTTCACATTTTTAAGACAATTCTGTTAGAATTTTTATTTGAATTGCCTTACATTTTTATAGATGTCTTTTGAGGGAAAATGATATTTTTGTTATCTTAAGTCTTTTAATAACTTGGTTTGTCTTATTTTCCTCCCAAATTCCTTTTTATCACTATATGATGCTGGTTTTCTTTATCTATATATGGAAGCTTTTATTCATACAGGCTT